GCCTAAACTCAGACTCAAAAGCAACTCAGCAAAAGACGACTCAAAGACCGACTCACATGAGACTTTTAACAGCCCTACTTGCAACACTAGTTATATAATTTGTGCTCGAGAATCGATTTTTGGTTTATTCCTATGGTGCATAAAATCTAAAGTCATCAAACGTATAAACTTCTTTACCAAGAAATAAATACAAAATTTAATCCGTGAATATGCTCAGAAAAGGCCTATTCTATCATGAATTTATGAAATTTCTGTTACTACTGTAACACTATTTTAACGAATGAAATTAAATTTTATTTGTTACGATCCTTCAATGACAAGATATTCAAATCTCACCATTTTTTTTCAGTATTCTGTAATATTAGTGAGTCACTGTAACTTGGAGCACTAACGCTAATTGAAAATGTTGGGAAGGTGTTTTTGCATACAATCCATCTAACTATAACCCTAATTCTAGCACATAAAACCATTAGAATCTATTTGTATCGTTCGTACAAATAAGTAATTCTATATAGCTAATTTCGACTAAGAGCGGTTTCTATTTTTTCTTTATATACATATGTAGCCAAATTTCTCGATATAAAGAGGCTTCGTCTTAGCGTTTGACTTAGAGGGATACTGTAATTACATATATTTAACCTTGTAACAATTCAAAAATCAAATACATGTAAATGAAAACTGAATCATTGAAATGTTTGCTTTATGTGGCACATAAATAACGATATGTTGTGTATGGACCATATCAATTTTTCTTTGATTAGATTTTTTCTGATTTACAAAAATGACAAACGAAATTTTTATTTATTGAATTAACGTTAAGATGCAAATAAAGTTAATATTGATGTTAAATGCAAAGCTGCAAATGAGAATACTATTAGAATACAAACACATTTATCTAGGAAAAAAGATATCAAATAATTGCTTCATATATTCATAATTATATGCCTGTCTATACCAATATATCGCCTGATGTTTATCCACTGACCCACTAAACCCATCGTGAAAAGAATGCGCATAATTATATTTCCCCAATTGATAACTTTCACCGGCAGATTTTTTATAACAAAGCAGTGATTTATATTTATCTAGTCGTGTTCCGATTCCGAATTGATAGCAGTATCCGAGTCCACTTGTTGCGGCAGGATTTCCAAGATCAGAGGCATTTTTGTACCAGTAAAATGCTTTATTTTCGTCTTTTTCAACACTGCGTCCTTCTCTGTATAGGAAGGCAAGTTGGACTTGGGCATCGGTATTTCCTTTATTTGCTGATTTTTGGTATAGTCTGAATGCTTCATTTTCATCTTTTTTTATCCCGTATCCGTATTGGCAACAATAAGCGAGATTGTATAGTCCATAACTATGATCTTTTTCCGCACTTTTTTTATACCAATAAACGGCTTTATCCATATCACGAGCCACTCCACGTCCACTCATATAACAATTTCCAATATTACATCGTGACCCAGCACTTTCGTCCGCCGATTTCATATAATAACTAAACGCTTTATCAATGTCGGCTTTTACACCAACACCGTTCTCATAACATTGTCCCAACCAACCTAATCCTAGTGCATAACCACCATCAGCCGAACGTTGAAACCAATAAAAAGCCTTTTCGGGATTTTTGCGTGTTCCCACCCCCTTAAAAAAACACCATCCAATTTGATTCGCGGCAACCGGATCCCCTTGTTCCGCAGCAATCGAATAATATCGAAACATTTCAAATTTATCAATTTCCGTTCCTATTCCCAGGCAATACATAAATGCTAGAAGAGTTTTGTAGTTTGTTTCGTCGTCCCTTCGCTCAAATATCATCTTGAAGATTTGTGATAGTGGTTCATTATGTGTTTTGAGCCATTCGTTTACTTCTACTTCTATTATTTGATCATCTTCGTAGTTGTCGCATCCTTTTTTGTAGATTTCAAGTAGTTCTTTTGATAAGTCTCTTTTAGAAGTGGTTTCTGATATCATTTTAGCTTATCGTTATTGAATGTATTAAATTTTAAGCTAACTACGTACGTACGTACATGTAATAATACATGTACGTATTTATATTAAATTTTTCGACTTTTATCATTATTGTTATACGATAACGATAATGATGCATTTACGACATTTACGACTTAATTAGGTTATATAGGTCTTTTTTGATCATACATGTACATGAATTGTGGAACTTCCTAATTAAGCTATGAAAATACACAGTATCGGTATTGTCAAATGACAAGTGAATTATCATACACGTGTACATGCGTAAAATTTGGTACATCGTTATGATTTTAGCGCGCTGTTACGTTAATTCTAGATGACCTTTTTTAGGATTAAATCGATCAACTATAATCAACTAATTAGCATAGTTATAAAAAAAAAGTATTCCCTCTAATAAAAGCCTCCTTTTGCGGCTGGGGTTAGTCTAATAATTGAAGTTCAGGTTTGAATTATATTACATAACTAAGGGCTCTATCAAGCAATGCCCGGAGAAAATTCCTCGGACGCCATGAAGTCTCTGTTAATTCGAATCCCCAAATTCCTTGTGTATGCTTCTGACACTGACTTTATAACAATGTTACCAAATTCCTCCATCTTAAATACCAATCGTTTCCAAAAACTCGCATGCGTCTAACTCATCATCTTCCGAACTGTCCTATTATTAAGTCTTCTTCCTTGTCAGCGTCGCGTCGTGACATTTGTGTGCTATGAAATGTCGGCAATACTATATCAAAGTATGAGCCAACCACAATGCAGTTTTTTGTGTGATGGTGAAATGATCATGGGAGCAATTTCTGACGAAATAATGATTAATTCTTTCAAATTCGTCATATATCGGATACATTCGATGATAGCACAGAGAATTCTGATAAATAAAATGTTAGTTATGATGCTAGTATTGATGATATTGAGTAGTTAAATCTATCTTTTTATTTGTAATTACATGTACAATAATCCTTTATATAAATTTAATAAAATCTATTACAATTTCGGGGGTGCTTAATTTTAGCATATATTTTCGTGAGTATACGGTATGTTTTATTATTTGCTATGCGATTACGTATGTCAAAGAATAGGAATGTACTAAAAGCATATTCTGAAAATACAATCTATTTCTTGAAATCATGTTCTTAAATTTCTGAATAAAATATATCAGTAGAAGCGTGATTGTAGGAAAGAATAAAATTCTCCGGTACTCTCGCTATATTTAAAACATGAATAAATTATCGTTATTTATTTTATTTTTCAGACATTCTCGAGATCGCAACATTATAGTCGACGATATAATAGATAGTGTTACTATTACTAATAACAATAAAAATCATAAAGCAAAAACTCAAACTTTATCAAACGCCCTCAAAGATCTTTTAGAATAATTCTCGTCAGTCACAAATCCTGGCGGAGATGATGAGCACCTACTAGCGTTAGAGTGTGTAGAAAACTGGTTCCCTCAATGTGAAAAATTCACTAATGCAAATCTTTAAGAATCTAAAACAAATCGCTCGCAAAATCGCGATTATATCTATTATGATAAATCATTCACAACCTAATCAGGGTCGATTTAACAATTGTTCGATTCAATGAAATCGCAAGTTAGCGACTCTTGTTTCCAGATCACTATATTAAAATTGTACTCAATTTAGTCTATTAGTATTCTCTCGATTCAGCATTTTACTGATTCATCGGTAATCGAGCCCTGACTGTAAATGTCTAAAAAAAAAAATACGGAAATATACGAAAAAGTCTGGCATGTCTGTAAACATCCGTAAGAAACATCGTTTACTATAGACACCCGTAAAACGACACTTTGTGTGGTGTTTACAGGTATAGCGATAAGGAGAGATTGTCGCAAATCTCCGTTTGCAAGATATTCAACATTGGTGAGTCTTCAAATGGGATTCATTCTAATTTCGCGCATTCTTTTATTAGTCTGTCAATATCTTATTTTTTCTTTATAGAATTGAAAGTGCTACTAAAAAAATCCATAGCAGTACATGTAGCATTCACGACGTATAATCATGACATTCGAAGTTTAGATTCCATATTTAAGAATCAGTTATTTTACACGTGTATATGAACGAACATGTACTTTGAAACGATAATAAACCAAATGAGATACGTAATAAGATACTAATGCTAATGATTTTGCTATCGCTATTACGATAATGGTTGTAAACTTAGCGTTAGTGTTATGTACATGTACATGTAAATGTACATGTATAACGATAACGATAACGATAACGATAACAGTCACAAATGCCGAAATTGGTAGATAAGACCTCATACTTTGGTGCGAATGAGAATCCTTTATTGTAATTTTGTGTTCATCGTCATTTTTTAAAATGGATAAATTCATACATTCCCAAGAACACAGCGTTATAGTCGACGATGATACTAACACTAATGACGATAAAAATTATGAGGAAGAAACTCAAAATTTATCAAATGCCCTGAAAAATCTTTTAGAAAAATTTTCGTCAACCACAAATACAGGCAGTTATGATGAACATCTAAAAGAATGTATTCGAAATTGGTTCTCTCAACACAGAGAATTTACAGAAAGTCAAATCATTGCGCATCTAGAAAATATCGCTCACAAAAATTGTGATTACGCATCCCTATTAGGATTCGTTTATGATAAATCACTCGGAACTATATACGACCCTCAAAAAGCATTCAAGTGGTATCTACAAGCTGCTAAACAGAATGACGCATTCGGTCAAAACCAGGTCGGATATTTTTATCAACTTGGAATCGTAACAGAAATAGATCACAAGAAAGCTTTCTACTGGTATCAAAAATCAGCGGAGAACGGTTGTAGTAATGCTAAATCCAATCTCGGATACTGTTATGAGAGTGGAGTTTATGTAAAGAGAAATGATAGATATACGCTTTATTGGTACTCTAAAAGTGCCGAGATGGGTGACGAATTGGGCAAGTGTAATTTGGCATATTTGTTTTTTTGTGGTATCGGAGCGAATGCTGATGTTCATCGCGCTTTGAAGTTGTATCTGGAGGCGAAAAATATGGGATGCTCGAAAGCGGAGGATTATATTTGTAGCATTTTTCTTTGGTAAATTATTTTATAACATTGTTAATTAACAAATATTTTAATGCATATTTAGATTAAGATTCTTGAAGATACTAGTTTTTTTATTGATTTTTCCTTATAAAAATAATTCTAAAGCTTTAAATTTTTCTTTCACAAATTCTGACAGAATTTAATTACATGTACTGTACTTTGAAAATACGTACAGTAATAAATGCTGTGCTTTATAATGTACATGTACATGTACATTAAAATGCTGTGCTTTATAACATACATTGTATATCGATATACCGATGATGCTATATTATCGTTATCGTTATGGTGAGTTACAAATTCCGATAATAAAATTGGTGCGAATGAAAATCCTTATCATTATCATTTTAATCCAGAATATCTTGGTACGTACGTACTCTATATATTTAAAAACATGAATAAATTATCGTTATTTACTTTATTTATCAGACATTCTCGAGATCGCAACATTATAGTCGACGATATAATAGATAGTGTTACCATCATTAATAACAATAAAAATCATAAAGCAAAAACTCCAACTTTATCAAATGCCCTCAAAGATCTTTTAGAACAATTCTCGTCAGTCACAAATCCTGGCGGGGATGATGAGCACCTATTAGAGTGTGTAGAAAACTGGTTCTCTCAACGCGAACAATTTACCGAAATTCAAATCTTTAAGAATCTAAAACAAATCGCTCGCAAAAATCGCGATTACGCATGTCTACTAGGATTCTTTTATCATAAAGCTTTCGGTACACAATTCGACCGGCAAAAAGCATTTAAATGGTACTTACGAGCTGCTGAACACGATGACGCATTCGGTCAAAACCAGGTTGGATATTTCTATCATAAAGGATTCGGCACAGAAATAAATTATGAGAAAGCTTTCTACTGGTACGTGAAATCATCGAATGGAGGATGCAGTAATGCAAAATCCGGTCTCGGATACCATTATCAATATGGACTTCATGTGAAGAGAAATCATAGATATGCGCTTTATTGGTATTCTAAAAGTGCAGAGATAGGTGACGAATTGGGCAAGTGTAATTTGGCATATGTGTTTTTATGTGGGGTGGGAGCGAATGTCGATGTTCATCGCGCTTTGAAGTTGTATCTGGAGGCAAAAAATTTGGGATGCACGCAAGTGGATGATTATATTCTTAGAATTCTTCTTTATCCTCATTAGTAAGTTCTTGTATTTTGTTTTATATCATTAATGAAACATCAAGCTCCAACCATTTTAAGTCAAATCACATCTTTTTTTTAAATGGGATTATTCAATAAAGTTCGGATAATTTTCCAATTCGAATGAAACTTTGCACATATGATATCAATATTTAGTATCTACTGAATTTGAGTGTTTTTCAGAATTAAACACAATCATAGTCTACCTTTTAATTTTGCCAGCAAATCGTATATACAGTAAATGCATTTAAATTAGCTTTTGTGATTTATTATTGTTATAAATAATGTCAAAAGATAGAACTGAATAGCATAAACAAATCATTCATAACAATAAAATCCAGCTGGTATAATAAAATATTATACAAAACAAAACAGAGCAATCAAAGTACGTACTAAATTGAAAGCTCATAATATTAAAATCAATTTGAAGCTATTTTGCTTGTATTTGATGCAATAGTTTAATGCATAAAAAATTTTTTATTAACAAAATATCAAAAATATGTAAAAAACAAAAAATGAAAAATTTATTATTGTGCGTAAAACTCATGACTTTCATATTAATGCCGATACGGAATCATCATTATTATCTTAGTATCTCGTTTGTTTTTACCATCATTACAAAGTTTGATAAACAGGTACGTTCGTATATAAAACACAGCCCATAATTACTAAAAACATACGTATCGGTATTCACAAAAATAATCAAAGTTATCTAGAGAACTTCTATATTGAATACTCATATGGTGCGTGCCATCTAAAGTCATCAAACGTTTGTATTTTATAAAACGGATAAACTTATTTACTAAGAAGTAAATACAAATTTAATCCGTAAATATGATAGAATAGACCCTTTCTGAGCATATTTACGGATTAAATTTTGTATTTACTTCTGAGTAAAGAAGTTTATCCGTTTTATAAAATACAAACGTTTGATGACTTTAGATGGTATGCACCATGGTACATGTACTCTTTGTCAAGAAACAAATACTGTAATTGTAATTAATATCATTGTCAACTTAACAAAGTTAATGGCCTAAAAACAGTCTAACAAAAGAATGCGCAGAGATTAGTAGCAAATATATTAAATGGATCCCATTTGCAAGTTTCCTCAATGTTGAATAGCTTGCAAAGGAAGTTTCGGAACAATTTAAAAATCAATCTGTTTGTACCACCCATTGAAGAGAATAAATTGACTAATGCGAAGTTGTGTAGAAAGCATTGCGTGAGTCAAAGCAAATTACTTTTGTTCTAACCAAAACGACTCCAAACAAGAGCAGTAAAGCTGTACCTAATCCTTCCTGGATCACACTGACAGATTGTATCGAGGAATGCGTGTATGAGAGGTGAGGGTGGGAAGTCGAAAGCAGTTAAATTTGCTTTTGCTTCAAAAACACATTAGAGTCTATAAGCGAGATAAAAATGAACAATTTGAAATTGTAAGCAAGATGATTTTACTTTTTCTATGGTGTATAACATCTAAAGTCATTAAACGTTTGTATTTTACAAAATGGATAAACTTCTTTGCCAAGAAGTAAATAATAAATTTTACCCGTGAATATGCTCAGAAAGGGGCTATTTCTAACATATTCACGGTTTAAATTTTGTATTTACTTCTTAGTAAAGAAGTTTATCCATTTTATAAAATACAAACGTTTGATGACTTTAGATGTTATGCACCATAGTTTTCAAAAATATTTTAACTTCTCCAAAATACAAATCTAATGTACGTAACAGAATAGATTATTATATGGTGCAGGAACTCTTAAATTGACAATACGTATGTTTCAATTTTAAAATGCTATTACTCAACATAGAGGCAAGATTTTCAAAATCTGACCGGTAACTTTGTTCTTTATAGTAAGTTCTACAAAGTTACTAGTCAGATTTTGTCTCTATGTTGAGTAATAGCATTTTAAATTGAAACATACGTATTGTCAATTTAAGAGTTCCTGCACCATATAAATAAAAACTCGGCTAGAAATGAATTCTGATAGTAATGAATCATGCAAAAAATGGTGGTCTTTGCAAATACGTATATCGATTAACTACTAAATTACATGTATAAACTTTGGCTGATAAGATTCAATTACTTTATGAATTTGATTGCTTAGCAACAAGAATTTATAAAAAAACATATATATTCAGTTGCGAATCGCGAACAGATTATTAATTCATCTCTGTGAATAAAATAGTTTCCTGTTGAAAAACTTCTATTATTAATTGTACCATAAAAAGAAAATGAATCGTTAAAATTTTATCGTAAAACGTATCTGACAAAGGTAATTCAGTTTCAAGAAAAATTAATTCATGTGTTTCAAGCCGTGTTAAATTCGAGTTCTGTTTTTTTTTTCGAATTAAACCGTATATCTCTGTTATCTTTATCTTCTATTGATTTTTCTCCGACAAGAAAATGATTTCGTCAATTTACAGTGGCTGTCAAAAGTTACGCATCACGATGAGTTTTACATAAAAAAATTCTAGCGCCCCCAACATCAATTCAATGCTACAGTTTATGCGCTCATTTTAAAGTTAATAACCGAAATTTTTAAAAAATACATGTACTGTATTATTAATCCCATTTTGGGAAATCGAGTTACACGCGATTGTATTAATTAGTGAAATTTTGGCATTAAATATTTTCTTTCAAAACAAATCCCGAAAAAATCCTACTAATGAAAAATGTTCTCTATGAAAACCACCTACACTTCGTTGCGCTCTCAGAGTATAACGTCCGTGATAATATTTAGGAAATTCTCTGCGTTATTAAATTACTTGATGATAAAATTCAAGCTTAAGAAAATGGCTTAACCGTTTCCGTTCTTTATACGTACTTGGATTACGTACTTCTTATTTTGCATGCGAAAAAGGATTAAATTTAATCATGGTATGAAAACCGAAGTGGTAGGAAATTTTAAAAACTCAGTTTATCGTTATTTAGTTACTATAACAGTTCTGAACTACTGAGGCGGGTTTACTATAACTGTTCCTTGCAAATGTCTAATTTTTTGAACATAACCAACGCAAAACTTCTTTAAACATTAACGTTAATACATCAAATGCAGGTAACGGTAATGTACATGTATCTGTTATACTATGTCATTTTCACGCGAATAGAAATCTTATGATGCCTGTGCTAATATAAAAATGGAAGCAGTGAAGGTCTGTTATAATCACTGAAACTTAAAAGCTTACTCCGTTATTAAAATTGACCTTTGAATATCCGAGTATAGCTTGTCTATGATTGTTTGTTATTAAACTTCAGTAAACTTGGCCGTTATGCATATCGATATCATTGTTAGGGCCGACTACTACATGTAACGCTAACGCTAATTAACTCAACGTTAACGTTAAAATCGATCGTTTTGTATCATTGTATATATCGATACGTATACAATGTACGTACATACATTTGGTAGAAAATCCCATAGTAAATAAGTCAGGTGAAATTTTTAAACCTTCCCTTAAAAATTTGTCAAACTAATCATCTAACCTTCAGTCATATAATTAGGTTAAATTCAATATTAACGTTGATTTTAAGTTTCGCTACTTTAACTTTAAAGCACGTAAATATTTTTCTAATTACGAAATAACCATAAAATTAGTTAACAAAATCCTCCTATTTAATTTATCAACTAACATGCTTTCATCTAATCGATTCGTTATAGCATGACTAATCACGTTTAACACCACCAAAATGCCAATTATCAGAGTTTCAGATGCCATCATCACCCTCTCGTATAGTCATTCCTCCCTAAAGTCACGCCGCTCAGTACGTGATCATTAAATAAAAACATTATATATAAACATACTTCCCTATAGTCATACAATCACCGGGTATGCCTATAAAGGAGGACGATTGCATAACACAAAGTTTTAAAGGTCGGGATACATTCTGATTTATACAGTGCGGGTTACTTAGTCACCACACAAAAAAATTAACTTCAAATTATATCAGAGCCCTCAAAATAATTCAGAAAAATTAGAAAATACGTAAATCAATAGTTTATTGACTACTCTATAATATTACGTATTTCTTTGACTGGAAAAGTTCAGATTGGTCTTAAAGATTTGGCAAATTGTGGTAACTAAGTGACCTGCACGGTAATCGACTGGAATTCGTGCAAGAAAATTTAATGCTTTTTGTCGTATTGTTTGAAAATTAGTTAGTAATCAATGATAAAACTTGTTTGGCAAAGTCATTTCATTTATACATGCATATTGATATGGTCTAATGATCCGTCCATATAAGCTCAAATAATACGTACGTACTAGCGCTAGCGTTAGAAATGTATTCATCGTCCAACATGCATTGCTATATTGAATGATGCACTGCATAATACATGTCAATGTACATGTACATGTAATAAGAAACATCGACATGCACTATTAAATAATTTCATCATCCAATTGAAAAATAAAGTTTCTTCGCTATCGCTATGTATACATGTAAGATTAGACTCGAAAGTACACGTACATGTACTAATACATGTAATTAACCACATGCACCACTGTTTATCTTTCTTACCAAACAGAAAATCAATACTAATACCGATAGCGATAGCGATAGATACTGTTTCTCACCGATAGCGATAGGACAAAGAAATGATAGTCGAAATTTAAATCAATACATGTATTCGGAGTACGTACGTATGCAAGTATTGGTGTATTGATACTCATCGTTTTACCATCACGATCACAAAACACTATTTTAACTTGATTTATTTCTTTTTTACCGCCTAATCTAATACTCATTAAAAAAAGATGGAAAGCAAACTAAGAAAATTCGAATATCGAAAAAGCGGAATACCGTCATTTTTTAAAAACAATCTTTCTACTGATCATAGCTTGAACGAATCGGCTATTAACAATATTAACAGCTTGTCTAATATTAATAACGCTACTGTTGACAGTATAAACTTAGTCGTATCAGACACCAGTAATCATGAGTCGAAACGAGAAACTATTCTTATTAGTGACCTCTCAGAAGTAACTACTAATAACAATGGTGGTGAATTATCTGAATCAACCACTAATATAATTGATGAAGAGGAAGAAGAATCAAGAGAAAAAGTGGCATCAGAACTTGTGGAGGTTCTCATAAAAATATTTACGGAATTAAATCAACGATACGAACACGATGAAACAATATTAAAACGAATGAAACAACGAATAGAAGAAGATGAAGAATGCAACGACCCCAAGATGATATTTAAAGTCACATATAAGAAAAGATTCCTAGAGGGATATACATCATTTCTTGCATTTCTTTATCATTGGGGACTAGGAACAGAGATCGATAAACGCGAGATGTTCTTTTGGTATCATATCGCGGCTGATAGAAATGGGTTAGCGGCATGTCAAGTCGGATGGTGTTATTATGATGCGGTTGGAACGGAAAAAGATCATGGTTTGGCATTTTATTGGTTTAAAAGATCTGCCGATGTTGGCTATGCTGGTGGTCAAGGTATTTTCTTTTTTGATTTGTTATTCGTTTTCTAAATTGTTCATTACACATCACCTAACTCTGACCTTTCTAATTTAAATAAAGCTTGGTTGGGTTATTGTTATCAGAATGGAATTGGTACACACAAAAATGAACAAAAAGCATTACACTGGTATAAAAAAGCGGCCGAAGGAGGAGATGCTGCTGCACAAATCAATTTAGCAGTGTGTTATCGGGATAAGATTGGCGTGAATCAAGATGACGCAAAATCATTTTATTGGTTTCTACAATCAGCCGAACACGGAGATCCATATGGACAGTTAAATCTAGCCTACTGTTATCAAAAAGGTGTTGGCATTGAAAAAAACGAAAAAACCGCATTCGATTGGTTACAATGCTCAGCATCCGGTGGAAACGCAGACGCGCAGAATCAACTCGGGAAATTCTACCAACTCGGTCAAGTATGCGAGAAGAATGACGTTCTTGCGTTTGAATGGTTCACGAAAAGTGCCAATGCCGGGTTTCCCGAGGCTCAATTGAATCTCGGGTACTGCTACAGCTGTGGAAACGGCACGTTGCGCAATGGAGCACTCGCATTTCATTGGTTCAAAAAGTCAGCGGAAAATGGGAATTCGGATGCACAAAATGTATTGGGGTATTGTTACCAGATGGGGTTTGATGTGAAGTTGAACTTACAGATAGCTTTTTTCTGGTATCAGGAAGCTGCGTCACAGTATAATGGTAATGGATGTTTTAATGAGGCTTCTTGTTGGAATCATGGGACTGGAACTGTTAAGAATTTGTTTCGCGCGATTAAAGGATATCGAAATTCTATGGAATATGGAAATTCTGATGCATTAAAAGCTATTAATGTTATTTTTCGAAAATAGCTTTAGCTTCTAAAAAAGATTTGTAAACCTAAATATTCTTATTACATAAAATTTTCGCAATTTTTATTCCAAATACTGCTCTAACTTCTGTGTCCTGGCTTCACGAAGATTAAGAAAGCTTTTTTTGCTTGAAAAAACTGCATTCATTGAATGGCACTTCACTTATAAGTTAATGCATACTAAGTAATCGTCTTGGATCTGGAAAGGTTTAGAGGATAAAATTAGCATAAAGAAAATAGAGATTATGGTATAGGCTGAACATGGTAACTTTCGCGAAAAATTGCACTTCACAAAGCGCAAACCAAAAATTTAAATTATCTGAGACATCGTCGTCGCTGTTTTTATATCAATATGGATAATTTTTTAAAACTAATTTCTATGTAAGTGATTTAGCGGACCTAACTCTACCGTAAAGCGCTCTGTATAGTATCCCCCTTTGTATAAAACTTAAACCTCAATTTAACCTCAAGACTGTTAAACCAATAACTAAATTTCTTAAAAAATCGCATAGTGAAATCTAATTT